GAATAATGGAGAAAGTGGTTAAAGACCAAGTGTCAGACAACTTACTAGAACATGAACTTATCAATCCATCACAACACGGATTCCTCAAAAAGAGATCATGTGTGACCTGTCACATAGACTTTTTCAATGAAGTTACACGAAGCAGGGACAACAGAGAACTAGTAATTGTGCTATATTTCGATATAACAAAAGCCTTCGATAGAGTCCCCCATAATCTGCAGATTTTATTTTTGATTTACAGCTTGATTCCACACTGTATTTTTGGTGCAAGTGTGGAATTTTCAGCATGGATATCGGTAGCCCAAATTTCGCAGGCCGACCATAGATATCAGGTGTGCGCCGGTGTGGGCTCGAACCCCGGACCATGTGCATGGTCGGCGAGAGTCCTAACCACTGTGCCACCGATGCTCACTAGGGACCCTCTCCTGAGCTGGATAAAATCATTTCCCTGTGACAGGAATCAGATAACAAAAGTTGGCTCGATAATCTCAAGGCCTAAACCAGTAAGTAGTGGTGTAATCCAGGGAAGTATATTAGGCCCACTCCTATTCATAATATATATAAACAGTATCTGTGAATGCTTTAGTGTTGGTAAACCAATACTGTATGCAGATGACTTAAAAGTGACCTATAAATGCAAGAACACAGATCTTAGAATAACAGTAAACGCCATACAGCAAGAATTAGAAAAAATGGACAGATGGTGTGACACCTGGAAACTCCAGTTTAATGTCGACAAATGTGGCTGGCTCTGCATAGGTTGCAACAATTTAGAACTTGACCTGACAATTCAAGGCTATGCACTCTTACGACCGGAATCTGTATTGGGCCTAGGACTGAAATATTCACATGACTTATCATTTTCTGAACATACCTCCAAACAAGTGTCAAAGTCACGCAGACTTATCGGCTTTCTACTCAGGAACTTTTACAGAAATGAGTCCAGAATTCTGTTGCACAGGGTTTGTGTGCGTCCTTTATTTGGTTACTATTCATTCATGTATAGTAGTATACGCATAGAGGACAAATTGAAAGTCGAGGGAGTGCAGAGGTACTTCACGTCAAAATTGCTCGGAACCGAAAATGGTGCGAACTACTCCACTAGATGTGACAACCTAGGATTAGAAACGCTATGGCTAAGACGCCTGAGACTAAACTTAACACTTAACTATAAGCTTCTAAACCACTTAGTTTTTACCTCTACTAATGGCATTCGACTTTCAGATGACAATGGCTACAAACTAAGACACACTAAGGGTACAGTAGCTATCGAACAATGTAAAACAGCCACCAGGCAAAAGTTTTACTTGATTAGGTATGCACAGATATGGAATAAACTACCAATGGAAATGCGTCAAGCAGGTACATTGGCCTCATTCAAAAAAGTGCTTAACGACAAACTACAAGAGTTTGCAAACGATAGTAGTCCTAGTTCCTATCTGAGAGCCTCCGAAATTATAGGTCCATTTAATGTATAAGCTTAAACACTACACCTGTTGTTTTCGCCTATATTTATAATTTTAGATAAAACATTAACGATTAAGATACTTACCCTCAAACAGACAAGAAGTTTCGTTTGTAAAACTTCTACCCAACACAATAAGTGGAATAAAATGGACATAAACCGACAACATGAAAAAGATATAACTCACCACAACATCACATGGACAGATGTACGCTCGTCGGGCATCATATATGCTTCACCAACTACAACCTAACTTTCCTAAGATAATGTGATGAACTTATATCCGTAATGTTGCTGAGCAGTTAATATCCACAACTCCTGTCGGAACAACTAAAATTCAAAAACCCTCCTCACGAGAAGTAAATACCCACAAGCAGTAGAAATCCACTAATTAATGCGTCTAAAGCTTATGTATTTTACTCCCAACAATGAATTGCAGATCAAATGAGATAAACATATCTCTGATTTCAAAATAACACATCAATGAACTGTAATTCAAGGACTCTGCACACAACAAAGTAATGTACGAAAATTGACTTCAGGCTTTATTTTCTTTTCCCAGGCACTTATAACCCATCCACCAAAGACCTGGTTTTCTTTGTTAATGCGAAGACAATATTTCTGTATTTCCTGATGTGTTCCACTCACTGACAATCTAGCGGATTTTTCCAACTATGCACAGAAATGATTGTACATAAGTGAAAAGGATGTTTTATACTACTGGGATTAACATTTATCAAGTGTATGTATAATCTCCAGTGTACATGTTAAACATATTTTGCTATCGATTGTAAAATGTGACTGAATAATGCGGTCCTATTTCTGTAACAATTTGATGATGCCTGTAAACTGGCGTCCCTCATGTACTGTATCATGAGAATAAATCTATTTATTTATTCCCCTAATATAAGCTTGCCATTATGTCGGAGTCCGCCATGAATACACTAAGAGTATTCTAAAATAGATCGAACGCATGCTTAAAGGTTTCACTTGCGTTATCAGTGACGGTTCGCATTTGGAAGCTAATTTACTTAGTGTTAAATATTTTTTTAGAATTTGGGTGATGTCTATCAGGATGATAGACAGACACTGGCTTCTTGGCCCGAATCCATGGATGAAATATCGGAAGTAATGGACACTTGAAAGGTTGTCATTAATGTGCTGTACAAAAACAAAAACGACAAACAGCTATTTTGAGTGTTCAGGTTTTAGATGACCTTGACGGACAATGGGTAATCTGATAATTGAAAATATTGTCGGTCGTAGATAGTCTGACCTTCACACGGAATGAAAAATACATAGGACTGCCCGAGTGACGGTTGGCTGCAAAATATAGCTAGCCAAAATCGAGACAGAGTCAAGGGTATGTGAGAAGTTTGGTACGAAGAGTAGCTTTTCAATGAACTGGATCATGATGAAGATGACTGGACTCCCAGACTTACGCTTTTCCTGTCGCTGCGTTCTTTCGTGTGGACTGCCTTCATTGAGAAGATCTCAGAACTGGTCAAGGTGCCAAGATGCTAAAGGGCTTTATATGCCTTTGTATGCTGTTTATAGAGCTTATTGCTGATACACTCCAGTGTGTACCGAGGGGCAAGCGACGTGATAATGGTGATTCGCAGGTGGAAAAATAATGTATTAATTACGGTTATTCAGGAAGTTAATCGTGGTATCTGTAGTGCATTTGGGACGTCCGTCACCAAAACAGTAGAAAGAGGAATTTGTAGGTATACCTCTCCGGTGGGTGTATATAGACAAAAAACCTATGCCTAGAGCATATAATCGACTGTCTCAAGACATGTAACACTGATTCAGCATCAAGGCAGTAGTAGGTCTCCTAGAATGGTAGCCTAGGCAACATAAAAATGTCCACTTATCGGAAGCTCACCAGTTTGTACTGTCGCTTTGTTTGAAATTTTCAATTCAGTCTGTGAGAAAATGAAAGAATCCCACAAATGTGCTGGAACAGAGATATTACTAGAGTGAATATTGGTAAAACCTGGAGAACCAAACGAGACTGCTGACAACTACGCGGACATGGTTGCAACGACCAAAAAGATTTTTTCTGACTCCAGACTTACCAACAATAGGTGAAGGTAGTTAAACTTTAAGAGGACCACGTGGAAAGTTGACAAACCTAGACTGAACTATCACCATAGATCAATTGCTGAGAAATGTCTGGATTAAAACCCTAGACGTTAGCGGACTCATCTCAGCAACTTCTTCCCTAGCATGCGTCAAGAGTTGAGGACTTCCAGCCCCTGTATGATGCACCAGACATATCCTCTACAGAATTGTACAGTTTCTAATTCTTTATGACTTCGAAACTGAATGTCCTTAATAGTTTGGGAATACTGGTTTCCGATGACCAGAATTTTCCACACAGCTTTCAAAGCATCATCCCTCAGGAGACGGTGCACACCTCAAAATATCCTCGCAGCTTGAGCGAGCTGCTAGGTGTGTCCCGCAGACCAAACGAGGAAGAGCGGCATAAATCAGGATGACCTACCAAAACGCCCACGCCTGTATATGTGGAACTGACTCGAAACCAGTTCAGAGGAATAATCGATTACCTCTGGCAGATCTTCTCAAGATACAGTGGATGGGTGCCGAGGACTTATATCGGCTTATGCTCCAAAAGTAACCAGATAACCACGAGGCGAGTCGTAAGACATCTTAGCGTAAAGTAACACTGTAGAGTGAATAACTGTTTTTCGAATGCTGTCATCCAACTAGCTTTTGGTATATTTTCCAACCCAAAATAGATTTATCAAGATTTGATTTTCCTTCATTGTTTGTGTTTCCCAGGTAACCATGGATGTTATGGAAGTTTCATTACCTTCAGTAGAATAAAGAAGTTCTGGACATAGGTATATTTCACTTGAAATATCTCCAGTAACAACGGGCTTTAAACAATTATTGAACTATGCCCATACTATTTAGAGGGGCTCAGAATGTTGCTGAAGCCTCTTGATACTTTTTACTGCTGACGAGACTTCTATTGAATAGACAGCGCACATTTCTGTTAACATCAATGCGAAGGGTGGCATATTTTTTCCTAAATGCGTCCAAAATAATTAAGGGTGCTCTCTATTAAAAGTCCTAAATTCCTAAGGCACACATCTGACTTTGAAATCTGTCAGATACTAACAAGAAGTCATAAGCCAATTCTTACTAGTTATTTTTCGTGTCCAGTTTTAATTTGTTGAAAACAAGGTTATAAGGACATCAACCGGCCGCGTCTTCCAAACGTTTGCGTCACAATCTACTCTAAGTGGAGCTTTGTGATTAATGGCTTGACAGCTTCTTCTGCCTTATCAGGATGATATATATTTGCGTGTATAACTGAAGACCCTATTACAAAAATTGTTTTATCCATTCAGATCTGAACGTGTTAATTACTTTAGGCTTAATAGTTACACCTCTGAATTACTCACCCTGTCCTTATTGACAAGTTAGCACTTATTTTGTGGTATTCAAGTGATTAATTGAATAAGCTGTATGAAAATTCCCTCCAATCGGTGCTTTGATTCGAATGCTGCCCTATTTTGATTACCAGTTCCGTGTCATCATAATTGGTGATAGTATGGTTGGAAAATCCTCCCTGATGAAAAGTTTCGTTGAAGGAAATTTCTCATCAGTATCTGACCCAACTATTGGGGTGGATTTTTTCTCTCGAACTGTACGAATTCAAGAGGAAGTGTTTGTTAAACTGCAACTATGGGACACTGCTGGTCAGGAGAAATTTAGGTTTGTTTTGAATGCCTTTTTTGGCCTTATAATTCCAGGTCTATAACCGCATCCTACTACCGAAACTGTGTTGGAGTCCTTATTGTATTTGATCTAACTGACAGAGAGACATTTGACCATGTTGCTGATTGGTATGAAGAAGCTCGTGGTTCCATCAAGTGCTCTGCTCCTGTATTTATAATAGTGGGCCACAAAGCTGATCGTCGTGATGAGCGACAAGTAAGTTTTATGAGTAAATTGTTTTATTTTGAATCTCTGAACACGACAATGATTTGATACTCACAATACTGTAAACATTATAGGAACTAATGTAAATCTTGTCAGTTTTATTATTGCACATGAGTTAGGAATTGAAGGACATTTTTTCAGTTACACAGTTGTCGCTTAATACATATGTATATACGCTTTCCAGATTCTGATTTTGCAGGTTTCTAGAGTGTGGTTTTGATTTGAACAGTCGAGTAATTTCAACGAGTATCTGAAATCCACATATAAATTCGCTTCGTTTCACTCTAGACATCTGATCATTTCCACAGACATCATAGTTTTGGTGCCTAGGTACAAAATAAGGCTGTTTTCCTAACAGAGCTTCAATTCCCCTAAAATTTTGGGTAAAAATGACGTGGGAGATTAAATTACAGGAACTATGTAGTAGAACAATTTAATCTTGTTTATCAAAAACTACTTCACTGAAATGTGATGACTGTAGTACTCTCCAAAGTTCTAAGTGTTTGAAGTATGCTCAACCCTGATTTTCAGTGAATTCTTTTTACAAATTGGCACCGACTATAAGAACACAGCAAGATAATTAAAACGATTCTTCATAATAGAGCAGTATTTGTTGACTTTTGTGTTAGTTTGCTATGGTCCTTCTCAGGTGCATGTTATATGCATTTATTTAGGTGTTCCTATGTGTATGCATTCTTTCAATATCCTTTTTGCTGTAGAAATTTTAGCAACCTCGTTTCTATTTTCTCTGTCTAATTTTTCCCTTTGTGCAATCTTGTTCACGTTCATACGTATATCTGATAATTTCGGTGTTTCAAACTATCACTTCAAATGAGGAACTTTTCATAACAGGTTCAGCAGCATAATAGGTAGTAGTGTTTATGTACTGGGTGGATTAATTCGTGTATACCAACTATGACATTCATACTGAGCTTGCATTATCCTTCAAGGAAAGCAATGACTGGTCTCTCTTAATAACCTGTATCAATCACCTGTGTACTTCTCTGATTGATGTAAGCTCATCTAGTAATATGCTTAATCTGGACATTAACCATCACTTTGCCTACGTAATGTTAGCAATAGAATAAAGATAACTGTGGTCAAAAGACGTAATCCTCTGAAAACTTGCTTTCGGTGGTCATATATGACAGCTGTAGAGTAAGACGTTAAATTACCACACATTACACATTTCCTTTGATTGGTAACCGAATATTTCATTGATTTGGGGAATGATTCAAGTTATTACATGCCAATGAGCGATTCATATGTATGCTGAGATTTTGTTAGCGCATGCCCGATTATGACTAGTATGAGTTTCTAAATTGGGGCTGGTGAAAACCAGTCCCAGGTGGACAGTCATCCTGCACTTGACCACCAGACGGACGTGAAGAAAGATGAAGTCAACTAAGAAATATAAGGGAATTCATGAAGTCAGCTGATTCTAGCAGGTTTGGTGAAAACTGAAATAAATCTTAAAAAGAACACAATGGACCAGTCAGCTTGCTTAATCCTATTTTTTTACTTACTTTTACTTCATACTTTGATAGGTGAGTAAAATGGAAGCTCAATCTCTTGCCCAACGACTTGGTGATTACACCTACATAGAAACATCTTCACTTACTGGACAAAATATTGAAAGAGCCTTTGAACTTCTTGCTGAAGGAATATATGCTAATGTAATAAAAGGAAGTTATAATGAGGTAAATACATATATATATATATATATATATATATATATTTGTTTTCATTTGTCATTGGTCATACTTACTGCATTTTCGTTAACAACAAGTTAGGATAACTTTATGCATTATTCTTATTCAAAGGTATTAGAATATGTTAACACAGTGGTCAGGATTGACATTCTCTATATGATTCTTTTTTATGGTTAAATAAGGGTGTACTTTTGGTAGTCAGTGCATCCACTGGGCACGCTACTACTTAGCCGTTTTAATTTCAGTGGATAACTAGAAATTATAACAAATGATTCATATTTTCAAGTGTTATTTTGCAGGGATTTAGTGGATTTCAATTGCTATCACGAGATGACTTCAGTTGGAGGGATGCATTATAAACTAGGGAGTACTAGACGCCTGTTTCGTCCTTTTTGGGGGCTGTTCAGCAATACTAACCAACCGACGATCCCACCAGGGATCGATTCCCTGCAAACTAACACTTGAAAATTAACCTAGTGCTCACTAGTGACTTATTGTAGAATGAAATTCCCTGAAGTTCAGTCGGGAAGTCACAACCAGCAGGATCCAGTAAGTTGCATGTAAGGACAAATACTCACAGTTGACAATGGCTGGTCATCGCGCTATGTATCGCAAATTGATAAGAGTTAGAGTTGTTGATGGGCAGTTGGATTTCGATCCAGTGACTGTGAATGGTCAAAAGGCCGGCTTTGTAAGCTGTAGGTGCCAGATTCGATCTCTAGTGGGGGGGGGGCGGAGGATCATGGAGATTTATACTGTTGAACACTTCGAATGAACAATGAAACAGCTGTTTAGTACCTCCCCCCACCCCGTGATATTCAGTGGTTCTCCAACTGAAGTAATTTTGCCATTAATTTTGAAATCAGTTAAATCTGTCAAATAACTAACACTTAATCTCTATCCGTTCATGAGTTACACGAATCATTTTATTCTCTGTTAGATCCTCGAACAATTTTATTCAAGTTTTGAATATTTGAACAAGGCATATAAACGAACAGTATTGTTTTCAATTAGATCTTCAGGTTTTACTCTAATTTACGTAGATTTGTATATAGAGAATTTAACTAATGACGGTGAGTTTGTAGATCAAATTATAATAATGATAACGAAAATAATGATAAGATTTATACAGGTGGCGGAGGTAGTAATATGTGTATATCTAGACAATTCAATAAATAAATTAGGTCAAATCTTAAAAGTTACGTAAAGGAGAAGTGAATAGATAATCAGAGTTTGAATGAATATCATAAAAGTACGAAGGTAATGGAAAATAAGAAAGGGTGGGAGGGTTTTAATTAGAATCCACCTAGGCCAAGGGAGAAACAAAGGTAGAACAAACTTGTTTTGTATGCTAAGACTAGGATTGTTCTCTCAAATTTCCATAGCGTTGGCTGTATGTGTGTAAAAGGCGCGTTCGAATTCCGTTCGAAAGGTTCAGTGGAATGTGATAGGTAGCTTTAAAGGCACTACTTCTGTTTACTTGGTGACTTCTATCAATCAAATGAGTCAAAATTGGACTTCTTATAGATTTTATTTGGCCTGTTCTAAACCATTGAGGAAGGAAAGATGCTCAATAATAGGTTTATTGAGCTGTCTAGTTGTTAGCCCTGTATTAGCTTTTCTTCACAGGGCACAGCTAGACTGTCTTTCGCTTGAGCAATCATAATCGGTCGGCTGAAAAATGACAGACAAAAGGTGGTGGTAGTATAAGTCTGTTTTAATGTCTCTAGACTATCTTAGATGTAGGACTTCACCAGTCATATCCCCACTGAATTCCAGTTTCAGGAACAGTTGCTTCTTTTTAACTGTCTTTGGTTTCTCCTTATTATACATAGTGTCCATGTGTCTCCTTGAATATATCGTAATTATTACTAAGGTGGAAAACATTTAACACTTATTATTATTATCATCGTAATTTTGTTATAATTTGATCCACAGACTCTCCGTCATTGGTTAACTGTTTTTATACATATAAATTTGTGTAAATTAGAGTAAAGCCTGAAGAAGATCCAATTGAAAGCAATATTGTTCGCCTACATATATCTTACTCTAATATTGATAATGGGAATATTTGAAAATTTGAATAGTCAGTCTTTCTTTTCTGTGTCACTAGAATTAAATCTTATTTTTGATTGGAAAATGTAACTCCTGCGCTGAAAGCATGAAGTGAAAGCATTCAAATACTACTTTCTGTCATTCTGTCATATATTGTTAGGCAGGTCGAAGAGTATTACTTCATTTTTAGTATTGATTTCTGATATTTCTCAAAATATTGTTTTATTTTTCAAATGAATGAATATGTAGGTATTATTCTAGATCATGTGAAACTAAGTATCTGATATTCATTGAATGTTGCCTACAAGTTGATATAAGTATAAAACTTGGACAATGTGGTGGTAAAGTATAACTGTATTATGGATAAGATTTTATTCTGATAAAGTGTCACACAGTGTAGTGTTATACAGTAATATTAACTGATGACCACATTTCGAGCACAAATTATTGCCACTCATAATCATATCAAGTTACTCACACAACTTTCTTGCTTCATTTATGTGCATGTGTGAAATTGACTAGATATTTAAATAAAAATCAGTATAGGATAATGTACATTCAGAAATAATAATATGAGTGTTATCAATCGAATACAATCAGATGGGGAATAAGACGAGTATTTTTATAGTCATAATAAGCAGCTTGTTAGATTGTTGTGATGTGTTTGAGTTAAAATATAATTTTGAGATTATTTACTATCCTCTGATTTGACTGGTTGGTAGTAATTATATCCCCCATATCTCTGGTATTTGCATTGAGTCATTTCTGTTGCATGTGTTGGGTATAGACTCAATGAACCCGGATTCAGTAATCAATCTCTCTCGCTCTCCACCTACTTATATCACTTTTTAGAATTGTAACTCGGTACCACCCTATTGTGTGGTTGTGTGTTAATGCATGCAGTGCAATCACTGAGCTTTTTTCTAAATTACTTATCTTCTCGGGGTCAGCCATTCTTACCTTAGCTAAATTCTTATGTCCCGACGATCTGACTACCCCGATCTACTAGTTTGACCAATGTAGTTGACCTAGCTGACAGTCACTGCAAGGTATTTTGTAAATTATATTATTTTGTTTAATCTGATCAATTTCACACATGTATATAAACGAAAAAAAGTTGTGTGAGTAACTTGATATGATTATGAGTGGCAATAATTTGTGCTCGAAAGGTGGTCATCAGTTAATATCACTGTATAACACTGTGTAATTTATCAAAATAAAATTTTATCCATAATGGAGTTATCTGCAAGTGTCTATGTCTATCCATTCGAACCGATAGACCGTTTGCTTAGAAATATGGATATTCACTTATAAAGAGAGTTGGAGTAGGGGTAAACAACTATTCAACGCTTTCTGAAGTTTCTTAACTGATGTTGGCCCGTAATAAGAAAAGTTTCATGATCAATTATTCTTGGACAACAAAAATTACAACATCTTAGCTTCATGATGGGAAATATGTAGTAGTTATAAGTTAATGGGATCATAGGTTCTACCAGTTGACTGACTGACTGACTGGTTTCAGCGTAGAACTTTGCACCAATGTGCAGCAGTTCGAGTTGCCATGAAGCTGTGTCGACTTAGATGGTTAGGACACGTGTTACATATACGTAGTCATCGCCTTCCTCGACGGTCAATGTCAGCTGATATAGGGTCAGGCTGGAAAAGAGCTAGCAGCAGTCAAACCAAAATATGGCTTCATCAGTCAATGAAATCCACAACAGTTAGCTTAAGCCAGCGCCACGTAGGAAGGTGTAGACTTCCGGGTTGGGATCCTCAGGACGGTAAAAACCAATGAGGGCTGGAGACAATCGGTGATACGACTCAAACTCATCGTTCTCAATGGCTGGTGCAAATGCATCCACTCCTTGTGACTTATAATATCCAATGAAACTATATTGTTCTTGGTTATTACTATTCCTTTTGTCTCACACCTCTGTTTACTGTCTCTGTTATGCATTTCTTCTACCTCCTCTTGCTTTGTGTGTTACGTGGAGTGTGGCGACTTGAACTGGTGCACATCGGTGCAAAGTTCTATATTGGAAACAGACAGACGGTTCTAGTTGCCACACTTCACACAGCACACAAAGCAACATAAGAGAGTAAAAAGAGATTCAAAACAGGGACAATAAACAGAAGTGTAAGTGTAAGGGAAAAAGAATAGCAATATAGAAGAACAGCAGAATTTTATTGGATATTATAAATCACAGAGTTAATGCATCTGCGCGAGCCTTTGACGATGACGATTTCGAGCCATATCACCTATTGTCTTCAGGTTTCATTGGGTCTTATCATCCCGAGGACCCCAAGCAGTCAGGGAGTCAAAACCGCTCTACGTGGCTTAAACGAATGTTGTGGATTTCATTGACTGATGAAGCCATGTTTTGGTTCGATCACTACTAGCTCTTTCCCAGCCTGATCCATCCTACGTCAGCTGACATTGTCTGTGGACGAAGGCGATGGCTCGGTGGAATGAGTAACACACATGTCCCAACCATCTCAGTCGATGTAACTTCACAGCCTCGTCGATTGATTTCCCCTCCCCACCTAGCATTCACTTGACCGATGCCTAACCTCAATATTGTTCACCTTATTAAACCACTTAAAACGGGAGATAGAACCCAGACACTATTATCAAAGACAGTTAGTCGGCCCTTTCATGTCTTCCCCTTTCAATGGTCATGTCTCACAGCCGTCAAGGAGGACAGAGCTAACTGTTGAGCAGTACACACCCGACCGAAAGCTGCTACCTTGACGTGGTGGTCGGGCTTGAACACCCCAATGACCTAATCAAGCTATACTGGCTGAAACTTATGTCTCTTGAGGTCCTACCATGCCAGGCAGGTTGTTTGGATAGCGGTTAAACAAAAAGCAGCTACCCAATCCAACATCATGATAAATACAAAATCACAAAATTTCATGCCGGATCGGCCGTG